AAGGACAAAACCAAAAACTGAACTCACTGCCTTCAAGTCAGATCCAACTCATAGCCACCCCTTGTCGGGTTTCTGAGGTGGTATCACTACGGAAGTAGATTGCCCAACCTTCCTTTGAGGAGTGGCTGGTGGATTTGAACCGCCAGCCTTCTGGTTAGCAGTCAAATGCCTTAGGCATTATGCTACCAGAGCTACCATAATATTAAACAGGCCAGATTTTAAAAGCCCTTCTGTGTCATGTTAAGGAGATTAGGCCTCCTCTTGAGGACAATAGGGTTTAAAATGAATACCATGATTAGATATTTGCTTTAGAAAGATTATTGGCCTCTTGTCAACTCTGAGGCAACTGGATTGGAGAAGGGCCAGACTTGAGACGAGGAGTCTCAAGAGGCTGTCAGAATAATCCAAGGTAGAGTTGATGGTCATCTGAACTGACAGGTAACATTTTGTGTAGTGAGAACTGAAGTACTTGAAAGGTGGTTACTTGTCCAAAATCATACAGCTGGCTAAGATATTGTGGAGTGAAGATTTGAACCCAGATACATCTAGCTTTTTCTCAGCTACTAGCACTCTTAACAACAGTGCTAAATAGTGGCAGTGGATGTTGAGAAACATGGACAAGATTTTTAGGAAATAGAATTGTCAGGCCTTGGTGATTGGCTGGATCAACAGATGAGAAAGAAGCCAAAGAATGAAACAGATTTTTGTTACTGAGATAAGGTACTAGGAGGAGAAGCAAGAGAAGTTACTTGGATAGGGGGTGGGGATGTGATTAGTTAAGGATTAGACATTTTAATATTGAGTAGTCCTTAGGGATATATAAGAGAAGATAAACAGAATTTTTAGGTCTGAAATTCAGGGGAGAGAGAGGTTCTAGAAATGTAGATTTGGGAATAATCGAAAAATGGTTAATTATAGTCAAAGTAGTAGAGATTATCCAGGGAAAGTATAGTAAGAGTGCTAGGGACGGAACCAAGAGGCATACCAGTATTTACTGGGTAACAGAGGAAAGGGACGCCCATCTATCCTGTTTCACCATTGAGAAGGACAGAAAACCCAGGAGTATAAGGCTTTTGAGGGAACCAGGAGATGAGCCTGAAATGACCATTTGATTTAGTAAAAAATAAATTTAAGCAAACAACATTTAAAGAAGTCATTTATTTAGCATTGGGTTCAGCAGGAAGTGGAGATGAAGTAAGGACAACATACATGGACAGCTCTTCCAGAAATGTAGCTGTAAATAAGGAAGAGAAAGCTAAAGTTGGAGGTAGAAGACATAAGATTGTGAGAATTTTGTGTGTGTGTGGGGGGAAGTTCAGGCATGTTTGAGCATGTTGAAATAATGGGTAGGAGCTGGTAAGAAAGGAGGCAGTTGTGAACATTCAAAAGAAACAGATGAGGGAGCAAGACCCTTAGGAAAACCCAGGGGGATGGGATCAACTACACAAGGCACATCTCTAACATTATATCAGGAGGAAAGTAAGATAATCACCAGGTGAATTTGCAGGTGTTAAGGTGAAAAGCTGAGTGAGACCTGCTCCATGTCTCCTGTTTTTTCCATAGTATTCTTGCAGGGTCATCAATTGAGGATGAAGAAGGAGGTATTAGGATAGGAGATCTGAGGAGAATGGAGAACTGCTGAACTATCAACTGTAGATCAAGATGAGAGTTCACTGGGCAAGATGATAAATCACAGGCATCTTTGAGAGTCCAGTTGAGATTAGAGACTGGACTTGTAGTGGCACCAGTAATAATGATTGAGTGATTTTCTATAGCAACACTCAATATTCTGGTTGTAGGAACACAAAAGGGAGACAGTTGACTGATCCAGGATTAGGGTTTTGCTCTGTGAAAGAAAGAAAAGGATAATGGGCAAGGATGTTGAGGACTTTGGGTTTTTTTTGGAAAAAAAAAAAAAATATATATATATATATAGTGATTGGAGTTCTGGTCCATGGAGTCTGAATTGCCTAGGGATTGAAATGGAGATGGGATTCATTTCAGGAAGAAGGTAGAGGGGACAGAAGACTGAATGTCAGCAAGGACTGTGAATTTGAGATTTTGAGACTGGAGCAGCTGAGAAGATGGGTTGGAGGTGTGGTAGTAGGCCTGGTAGGGGTTAAATTAATTTCAGTTGTGGTCATGGAACTGAAAAAGCAGGTGGTTTTCTTAGACAGTCAAGTCTCCTAGGATGAAGCCAAACCAGGGCTTAGGTGGGGGAACAAAAGACTAAAGCCAGGTGCCATAACAGTGTATGGTGGGGAGGTTGGTGAATTACCTGGATGAGTATATATAGAGTGATATTATCATATATCCTCAGAAGGACAAGGAGTTCTACATGAAAGTGAAAGAGTAATGGTCTAGAAGTGGCTGAGACAAAGAAGAGGACAGTGACATTGGGGTATGTGGAATGATGGAATAAACATTTATAAGAAAACTCCATAGAGGATGTGCTTTCCAGGAAGAGCTAGATTTCAGTTAGGAAAGGGAGCGGGCTAAGGATGAGGTGGGGAGTTTTCATTGTGGAGAACAGGATCCCATAGATTCAGGATTCATGCCTGAGAGGAAAAACTCAGTTGGCTCTGTACTTGCTTAACTCTGAGCTCAAGATTTATAGCCAAAATAAAATAGGGGCTCAATTCTCAGTAAGATGCAGGAGCACATTCAGTCAGAATACGTTGTGTGCATACAGCGTCCCAGGCACTGTGCTTTGGGTCCAAAGATGAATAAGGAAGGCCCAATCTCTGCCCTGAAGAGCACAGAATCTAGTAAAATAGATGGAACATGGTACACGGCAATGAAGTAGTAAGTGCAATGAGATGGGAACTCGTGTGTGTGCGTATAGACTTTTGAATTCTGTGTGTGTATATGTATACTTATCTTTTAAAATAGAAATTCTTCCCCTATACTTATGAAGGAGTCCCTGGTTAATGTGGGGAGCTGCTAACTGAAAGGTTGGAGGTTTGAGTCTACCCAGAGGCACACTGGGAAAAAAGGCCCAGCCATTTACTTTGGAAAAATTATCCATCAAAAACCCTATGGAACACAGTTCTACGCTGACACACATGGGGTAGCTATGAGTCAGAATCGACTTGATGGCAACTGACTAATCCTATGAGAATATGTTACATCATCTAGGTCAAAGGAAATTGGTGTGGCCCAATTGATAATTTAGAGTTTGATTTCCTATGAAATGTATATAAGGCCCATTTCTACTTCCCGAATTTTATACTGCTGGCTAGATTCGGTAATTTGACTACCTTTCAGCCAGAAAGGGACTTTATGCATGTTTCCTCTTGAAATTTTGGTCTTGGGCCTGTTTGCAGTTATTTGATACACCTTGACAACAATTTTCCATTTGGAAATATTCTGGAGCTTACTCTCCTATCGAACTTCTGTTGGTAATAAACATGTCCTTATACTGTTTATAGCAGTTGCACATCATTTTTCAACCAGATTGCACGCTCCTTGAGTCAGGGACTGGGCCTTTACTTGGTATCCTAGAATCTGAATTAGCAGTGCTGAAACCTCAGATGTTGAGAATTTTGTTGGTCAGTTGGTTGACTGCATTCAACCTTGCTCCTCTCAAACCCAATACAAAGACGACTGAAGTGCTTTCCTTCCTGAGCATCATGTATCTAAAATTTATTTTGACGCCCCCTCCCCCTTCTAATTGCCATTATTAGTGCTCAACAAACACTTAGCAAACCTGCTGCGTGCCAGGCATTATCTGAAATGCTGAGAACACAAAAGACGGATAAATCAAGGCTTCTGGCTCAAGAATATCAGTGCCTAAGTTAAAGCATTGTTAGATATTTACATAAATTTCTCTCTCAAAAAGGTGGAGACTGAAACATCAAACAAGTTTGTGAAACATGAAAATTTCCCTTAAAATTGTCAGATTTAAAAATGTGTAGTAAAAACATTTTAATATAGAAATAAAACTCTCTTCAGTGTTTTCCTTTATTTGTGCCATAAAATATTTTGAATTGTTTTTCCAAACACTTGTGAGACATCTGTGAGTTTTAATAGTTCCCTATTTATTGTGCTTCATGTGCACTGCCAACGCATTATCCTGTTTAATTTTCTCAACAGATCAGGGTGGCTTTGTGTTCTTTGTTTCATGCATGAGAAACTCAGGTTCAGATTAAGTAAGGTGTCAAAAATCTCAAATAGTGCCAAAGGTAGGTTTCAGTCAGGTTTGATTCCAATCCATTTTCTTAACCACTGTGATGAATTGTCTCCCTATTCTCTGGATCACTAGTTCTTCAATACCATCATAATTCACTCAGTGGGTCACAACTACTTGAATTAGTATACTGTTCAAATCATGCAAGACTGGAAACCCTGTTATTTTGTAATTGTGGTTTGGGTGCCCTTTTCACTGTCCCCAAAGCTGGCTTACCTCTTGTACCTCTCATTTGTACCTTCAGGACAATGAACACTTGTCCATCACTTCCACTAGTCTACGAAGCTGCTGGAAGACAAGCCTTGTGCGTCTGAATCCTAACTCTTCTCATACTTGACACACAGGGAATGCTCGGGGGATGTTTGTTAAGGAAGCCTGAATGAATTCTGGCGCTTACCCAGGCTCCTGAGTTGTGGCGTCACCTTTCAGAGTCAAAGTTTCCTTAAGATGATCTGTCGCTCATTTGTACGTGAAAAGGCGCTACAAATTTGAGAGATCCTGGTATAAAATACTGAAGAGCACTGAAAAGTCCTCATTTATCAGGCTAGAGTTAGCGACACCGGGCCGGTGTTTGAACGAAAAATACAAAGCTAACCTTTGCGGTCTTTTCCAGTTCTACTCTTCTGTAGGTGCCTCTAGTCCAGGCGCAGTATATGGTCAATTCACTAAGGCTGGGTAGTGTCAGCCGCTAGTGAAACGAACCTACCGCGTGGGCCTCAGTCCCTATGTGCGGTCCTTTTCCGCCGGAAATGCTTTGCTGCAGGAAGTGACGGACGCTGGGTGCACTAAAGAGGCATCTCTATCTCTTCCTTACCACGCGGTTGAAGAGTCCGGTTGGGTTACGGAGGTTGTGCTGAGTGATGCCGGGAAAACTCCTAAGTGACACCGCCTTGGAATCAGACACGACCATGGGAAAATTGGAGATATCGCGAAAGCAAAATGAGAAGGTGCCACGGAGGGCCAAGGGATCCAGGGCAAAGGGCCGGGGCTCTGAGAACAGTAGGGCCCTGGGGTACGAGCTGGGTGGCCGAGCTAGGAACGCGTGGCGGGCAATGGGGACCTGGCGCGTCCGGAGTCGGGGCGTCGGTCTTGACAAGGGCACCCGGAAGGGAGATATTCTCCCGGAGGCTGCCGGCGTGTTGCCGCCGGACCGAGCAGTAGCCGCCGCATACAGAACTCTCAGCGTTTCGCTTCCTTCTGTCCTCGGGAGCTCTGGCAGCTAGGCCTAGGCGGCTCGGAGCTGAAGAAAGGTCTGGGTGTCCCACGTGGTTCCGGGAGTGTGGGAGCCCGCATCTGGTGCGCTGGCTTGGATGTTCACGGTCAGGTCCCGCATTGTTGGCGCCGACATAATTCTGGTTGTGAGCCGGCTGGGAGGTTAATTGTAAATTAAAGAAGTAGAGACTGACGAACCGAAGCCAAATAGACTGCCGTCAGACTTTTCCTACTCATTCCACCCTATTAGGCCAGAGTAGAACTGCCCCCATAGAATTGGCCAGGCTGTAACCTTTAGGGAAGCAGATTGCCACATATTTCTCCCGCGGAGTGACTAGTGGGTTTGAACTACCGACATTAAGGTTTACAGCCGACCTCTAACCACTGCGCCAACAGGACGGCTTAGGAACTGACAACCTAGACCTTAAACCTATCCACACACGTGCGGAGGGATTTTTGGAGAACTGGCAAATGCTGACGGCATGTGACTTGTCTTTTGGTTTAGCAAGGGAAGTAAAGTTTGTTTCCTAAGAGGCAGCATCTTTAAAGAGAAAAAGTAATTTCATTTCTCCTAATATTTATTCACCAGATTTTCCGTGGAAATGTGAAGAGATGTGCCGTGGTGCTAATTACACTATGTTTTTATATAGACTAGTGGCGACAGCTGTCTCCCTTTTTGATGTTGACTCCTACACACTGGTTTTTGACTGAGTCTCTGTTCTGAGACAAGGTCAGTGGGAGCACACATTGTCCCTAAACTTGCTTTGTGCATGACTGAGATCACCTTTTTCCGGCTGTTTCTGGTAGTTTTGATGGGGAGCTTTTACAGTAGCAGCATTTGGCATTGTGGGATGCCTAGGGAACACACACTTCTCCCCACAGGTGGGCAGGTAGTAGTGCTGCTGGTTTGCTTACTCAGCATCAGTCAGTGTGTTCAGTTGTGGGATGCTCAAATTGGAGACATGACCAGACTCCGTTACAGTGAGTTCCAAAAGAGACTCATGAAGATGGGAAAGCAACTCTTGGTGGGACTAAACGATGAAAGGACTGGAGAAAGGAAGTCTTGAGAGACCAGGTTTCCCCCTCCCCCATATCCTAAAGACTGTCACGTGGGAGAGAGATTACCCCTAATCTGTGATTCTAGAGCAGGGGCCAGACCCAGCACCCATACCTGGAGTTTCAGGGAGGAAACTTTCAGCTCAGTATAATAGTCTACATACTTGGAGGGCTGGGGCTCTGCCAGAAAAATGTCAGTGGAGGCTGCAACACCTATAGTAAGTTTTCAGCAATGGGAAAGGTTGGGTAGGGCCAGATTTCAGTTAGGAGCCGTAGCCGTCTGTCTGGTTTGGTTTTAGGCTTTCACCTCTTCATTTGTAACTTGTGTTTGTTTTACTTTCATTTAGGTACATCATTTTTATGCATGGGGTGATAGGTTGTGGGGTTTTACAGCTTTTTGGTTCATAAAGTATCTTTATATAAGTTCATTTGCATTTGAAATAGATAGGCAAGGCAGACATTAAATCTGTTTTACCTATAGAGAAATTCGAGCAGGTAGAAAGAAATCTGCTCAACATGATCCATCTGTAGGCATATTATGACCCTGTTATTCTCTCAGTGTTAAATTTGAACTGTCCTTGATCACGTTCTGTAGTAATATTTCGTTGAGAGCCTGTTGCAGCATCTCAAATCTTTTACGGACATTTGATTTATAGATAACTTGTTTGACCAACATAAATTGAGTAGTTACTAAAAGGCACTCTTGATTTTCCAAGCTAATGAAACTATTGACATATAGTAAAAAAAAAAAAAAAACATACTAAGTTTGATTTTGCCTTATTGTAAGGTGGAAGTACAAATGCTGAAATGCCCCCCCCAAAAGAAAAACCCTTTGTTCTTCATAATTATAAGTAATCTTGGGAGCAATCTAGAATTGATGTATTATACAAATGTATGGATGCTTCATTCAGTGTTCATATTGTTTTTATTAATTTTCTAGAAAGCTAAAAAAGAGAAGCCCAAATCTAATAAGACTGAGGAGTCAGCAGAAGAAAAAGAGGATACTATTTCTCCCAAAGTTAAAAAAGTGAAAAAGAAAGCAGAGCCTTCTGAAGTTGAAATGAATTCTCCTAAATCTAAAAAGGTAAAAAAGAAAGAGGAGCAGTCCCACGATGCCATTGCTTCTCCTAAAATCAAAAACCTGAAGAAGAAAAAGGAACTTGTTGAAAATCAAGTTGTTTCTCCTAAAATCAAAGGAGCAATAAAAAGTGAGGAGCCTTCTGAAGACGAAGTGAGTGCTCCTAAGCCCAAGAAGATGAAGAAAGAAAAGGAAATGAATGGAGAAATGGGAGAGAAAAAGCCCAAACTGAAGAATGGGCTCCCTCATTCTGGATCTGCCTCTAACTCCAATGAAGCTACAAGTGAGGAAATGAATAGTGAGTTAGAACAGGTAAAGTTATATTTTAATAGATAAGAGTATCTTTTTCTTTCTTGTTTCAGATAAATAAGTAGGTAATTCCTACTCATTCAGTTTCTTAAGTGGTAGGAAATTTGTGTGTCAGTGTTTCTTGGAGGTCTTTTGAACTGCAGGGTGAAAGTTCATCTTGTTTTTTAAAATTGCAATGTATCAGAATGCCTTCTTTGTAAATGAGCAGATCTGTTTAAGCTTAGGGAAAGTCTTCTTTAAGTAATGTGCTAATTGGCAAGTCAGTAAATCAACAGGAGAGAGAGAGTTGTGCAGATGGGACCTAGCTTCCCTTGGGTTTTAAGTGGAACCCCTGGAAAAGTGTTTGCAGAAATATTTTTGTTCCACTAATTCTGTTACCTTCCAGAAATTTGAGTCATCAAAGAAAACTCCTAATAAGCAATTTTCTGTTCTAAGAAGTAATTTTCTATTTGCTATAAATCAGAAGATCAAGATCATAAAATTTTTTTCCTGGTTTCAACAAATAGGTGATCTAGAGAATTTGAAAAATGTATAAATCCCCACCCCACCTCTCTCCCAAAAAAGTTCTCTGTGATTTCAGCATTCATTCATTTAATAAACGTAAGCACTTTCAAGGTACAGAGGTAACGTGTATTAAATTTTTGTGTTTTCTTATATAGTGCTTTTTATATGTACAATTGAGGATCTCTGGTAGTGCAGTGATTAAGCAAGCACTCAGCTGCTAACCAAAAGCCCAGTGGTTCGAACTCACCAGCCACTCCACAAGAAAGAGAAGAGGCAGTCTGCTTCTATAAAGACTGATCGCCTTGGAAACCCTGTGGGGCAGTTCTACTCTGTCCAATAGGGTTGCTATGAGTTGAAATCAACTTAATGGCAAAGGGCTTTAGGTTGTTTTTTAAGTTTTTAATGGTTAGGTAAGCCATCAAATGAATGTTTAGAAATTTAATGATTTCCCTGTTGAGCGTTCGGGTTTTTCACTATCAAATGGGGCCACGGTGACCATCTTTGTTTATAAATATGTGTTCTTTATTTCCTGTAGTTATCTCTGAGGGATGTTGGTGTGAAAGGGGGGCTAGAGACCTGTCCAGCAGTATGTGTTGACAGCCTGTTCATTTGCAGTAGCTGTGGACTAGCTCTTAGTTGAGATTGAATCTGCCTTTGCCAGCTATACATGGTATAAGGACAGTATATATTTGCTACTGATTTTTTCTTTTGTTAAGGTTTTATAGATGATTATTATATATTTCCTTTTCAAAGTTCATTTTGCCTGACAAGATTTTGTGTCTTTTTGGTTGGTTTTAAATTAATTTGTGTCTAGAAGAGATGTTTTAGAATAAGTTTCTTCATCTCTTTCTCAGAAGGCTTCTTTTTATTAACTTTCATGGGCAAAGTGATTAATTTCTTGTTTCTAATACTATGGCCCTTTACTTAATAGGAAATACCAGTGGAACAAAAAGAAGGCGCTTTCTCTAATTTTCCCATATCTGAAGTGACTATTAAACTCCTTAAAGGTAATATTCTTGGAAATACTGTGTTTATACATGAAACATCATTTTGAAGCATTTCACTATTATTGCAGTGAACCAGGGTATATTCTTATGTAGCCATGAGAGATAGACCTACATATTCTGTACAGGACTGTAGTAGTGATGCGGTACACTGAGTATATTCAGAAGTGTAATGACTGACAGTCCTGGTGAAATTCAACCCTACGTTAGAGTTTCTTTTTTATCCTCTTCCTCTTCTTGTGGTATCTTTAGGTTAATGGTGCCAGCCTGAGAACTTTCACTGTCTGCCTGTGCACTAGCTAGTCAGTAACAGGTGCTCAACTGTAGGTGTTTTCTAAATTGTTGGATGCAGCACAGTTAGGACTGTAAAGCACCTGATTTCCATAGTAACATGAATAAGATTTCATAGCCAGTGACATCTTAGAAGGAAGATGGGGCAATCTACTTCCGTAGTGATACTACCTCCGAAACCCAAGGAAGGGTCACTAGGAGTCGGGTCTGACTCGACAGCACACAACAACAACAGCAACAGTCAGTGACATCATCTCTTAAAAAGAACAATTATTTACCATAATTTGGTTCCTCAGAGTTTGTTGATATTTCTCAGTGAGCCGATTCTTTACTACCAGAATATATTTGAACCTGACTTTGTACAGCTCAAAACATTGCCCAGAAAGTAAAATTCCTTAATTCTGCAGGATCAGAAATAGGGGGACTTTTATTTCCTCAGTTTGGTATTTTAAGAATTGCATTGTTGGATAACGAGGTTAATTTGTTCACAGCCCGTGGGGTGAATTTCCTGTTTCCCATACAAGCGAAGACATTTCACCATGTCTATAGTGGGAAGGATTTAATTGCACAGGCACGGACAGGAACTGGAAAGACATTCTCCTTTGCCATCCCTTTGATTGAGAAACTTCAGGGAGAACTCCAAGACAGGAAGAGAGGCCGCCCCCCTCAGGTAACTAAAACACAGATCTCAAGGGCTCCGAGTCTGCGTCAAAAAACATCTCTTTGGTGTTGCTTACATGCCCTTTTTTTCTTAATCTTTTTAAAGCCACCCATTCTCTCTACTGCACATGGACAATTTGCTTTTAACTACTGACTGTAAATCCTGTATTTCAGTATTATAATCTGTCCCTTGATTGTGATCACCTGTATTATTAACTCTTATCATGTTCCCTTCAAACTTTGTTAGATGTCCCTGGGGTTCACAGGTTTGGGCATGTGTTTCTGACCATTTTGGAGGAAGCATTTTTAGTAGAGCAGCATGACTAGACAGTGTTTCTCTGCTATTCATAAGGTTTTCCCCAGCCAGTTCTTTGAGAATTAGATGGCCTGTTCCTTCTTCCTAGTCTGTCTCAGTCTGTAAGCTGTATTGAAATCTGTACACCATGTATAACCCTGCTAGCATTTGAAACACTGGTGGCATAGCCTCAAGTCTTGTAGCAACACACAAGCCACCACAGTACGACAAACTGACAGGCAAGTTTGTCTCCCTTAGCTGTTGGAAACCTCTCTGCCCTCCCCTTACCTGGGTCCTGCCGCTTGGTCTTTCGTCCCCGTTTTCTGACTCTTGGGAGTAGGGCCTGTGTCCTTCCCCTTACCTGGATCCCTGCCGCTCAGTCTGTTGCCCCAGTTTTTCTTTCCCTTACATCACAATAAATGGAGAAAAGATTGAAGTTGTCAGACTTCACATTGCTTGGTTCTACAATTAAAACCAATGGAAGCAACAGTCAGGACATCAGATGACAGGTAGCATTGGGCAAGTCGGCTGCAGAGGACCTCTTTGAAGTGCTGAACAGCAAAGATGTCTCCTTGAGGACTAAGGTGGGCCTGACAACAAGCCGTGATATTTTCAATCACCTCATATGCATGTGAGAGCTAGACAATGAATAAGGAAGACTGAAGAAGAATTGATGCTTTTGAGTTGTAGCGCTGGTGAAAAATGCTGAAAGTACCATGGACTGCTAAAGAACTAACAAATCTGTCCTGGAGGAAGTGCAGCTGGAATGCTTCTTGGAAGTGAGAATGGCCAGACTTCGTCACACCTACTTTGGTCATGTTATCAGAAGGGACCATTCCCTGGAAAAGGATGTCATGCTTGGTAAGGTGGAAGGTCGACGAAAGAGGGGAAGGCCATCAACGGATGGATTGACACGATGGCTGTGGCAGTGGCTCGAGTATAGCAGGGATTGTGGAGCTGGCCCAGGACCAGGTGGTGGTTTATTCTGCTGTGCATGGGGCCGCTGTGAGTCAAAGACGACTTCAACAACACCTAACAACAACAAACAACAGCATGACTACAAGGAGGGGCACTCACAAGGGAGGAGGCTAACCCCCCTTATCAAGATGGTGCTTTTTAGGCTCGTTTCTAGAAAGTCTGACATTTGACAAACCTAACCTCACTGAATAACTGTGGTGGAATGAGCATAGTCTTTGGCATCAGAGAGGCCTGGGTTTGATTCTAGACTCTGTATGTGGAGTGGCTATGTGCTTTTTCACCTGTCTTTCTGGCCTGATCTCACTTGCTCATGTGGCCTTCTAGTGTCCATGCTCCCCCTTCATTAATTTATTTGTTTACTTCCATGTCTCTAGCACCTACATTGTTGTTAAAGCAAGTTTGTTTCATGCTGTTTCCTACTCAGAGATCTATAGTGATTTCCAATATGTTTTGCTGAATCAAACTCAGACTTCTTTAGGATTCAAAGCCTCACACGGTATGGGCCCTGGTTCACTTGCCTGACTATTCTAATCCAGATTCAGTAGGGTAATGAGATTAAGATCATGGATGTTAGAGCCCAACTCCCTGCGTTTGAATCCAGGCTCTGCCACTTCTGAAACACACCAAGTTGATTAGATAACTTGTGCCTTCTTGGAGAGTCTCTGGGTGGTGCAAATGGCCATTGTGCTCAGCTGCTAACTGAAAGAAGTTTTCCACCCAGAGGGCATGTCAGAAGAAAGGCCTAGGCGATCTCCTTCTGAAAAAAAAAACCAGCCACTGACAACCCTGTGTAGCACAGATCTGATACCCAAGGAGTCTCCGTGAGTCAGAATCGACAGCATTGAGTTTGCTTTCTGTTTTTTTGAATAGCTTTCTGAAAAAAAAGGTATAAACTTTGTGCTTTGTGCTTTGTGGTTTAGTAAGGTATTCATACACCTACCTCAAAAGATACATGTAGAAGAATTTAGTAGATCCTGAGACATTGTAAGAGTTCAGACATTAGCTGTTGTCAGTCTTCTTGCTCATGTTGTTCTTTTCCTGATATTGTTGTTCCTTAAGGACTAACAGCTGCATGAAACTTTAGCCATTTACTCCCAACTTGCTCCATCCAACCTCCTGGAGCATATTTAGGCATGTAACTTCTCTTCTGATTGGTAAGATCACAAGCTTTTCTTCTGAGTAGATTTATCAGGAAGAATATTAAATTTATGATCCTCTCAAACATACACAGTATATTATAAAGTGCATAATAGATGTTTTGAAAATACTGAATTCATTTGAACCTTCTGCTTAGTTCCAAATTTGGTTGTGAAACAAATCCTGCCTGATACTTTGGATTTCAGTTATTTTTATTCAGTTATATTTTCCCATTTCAGGTACTGGTTCTTGCACCTACAAGGGAGTTGGCGAGTCAAGTGAGCAGAGACTTCAGTGACATCACAAAAAAGCTGGCAGTGGCCTGTTTTTATGGTGGAACACCCTATGGAGGTCAAAGTAAGTAAATCCAAAAGTGAGGGAAGGAAAGTTCCATCCATTGTTAGATATCCTGATTGGATGTCTGATCATAACATCTGTCTAGTCATTCATGGCATTTTTTTTCTTTTGCCATTGTTGTTTAAAGATGGTTAAGCCCATGGTCCTGTTTGATGGTATGTCAAATCCTGTACATGGTATAGTCCATTGGGGTCCTGGGGAACCGAAAAGTCAGAATTCAGGATAACTCACTTTATCTGTCCAAGACCTTGAGTCTGT